GGTACCGGGCCGCGGCGCCCAGCTGATGCCGGTACCGGGCCGCGGCGTAAAAAAGGTTGGGGATCACTGCCTTAGATTACATGAGTTGCATAATGTAGAAAAGAAAGAGCCAGGCAGCAATGTTGCAGGCAGGAGCCAATAAAATGCAGATTTCTATTGTAAAAAAAACTTTTTTTGGTAGTAAAATGGTCACAGTAGCTACTCACACAAAAGTGGGTGGATTCATATAACTTTTCCAAGCTTATTATGGCACGACTCTTTCAGCAATATTACTTACAAGCTATCAAAAATATATTTTGTCTTCTAGTTTCTACTCCTTTAATATGGCTTTAATATTTCCATCAAGGTGTAGATATAGCGTTTCTCTACCCATGTGGCAGCTTTGGCTTTCTTTAAAAACAAAAGCCCCTGTAATTACATCACAATTTATACATCCTCTTTTCACAATGGTCAATGTTATCATTTTGACAATTTCTATTACAACTGTTTCTGTATTTAACAGTCAGATTTTATAAATATCCTAAAATTACTCTACCTGTTGTCTCTTGCCTGCCATTATATTTAGCTTATCCACTTCTGGTTTAAGAGCTTTATATTGTATTCCTAAATCTTGTTCAGTTCCAGCATTTCTTAGTTTTAGAATGCCTTCTTCCACCTAGAAAATGAAATCAGTTTTAAATTATTCACAATGTGTATAATTTAGTATAAACTCTTCAAAAGCAGTTATTTATAATGTCACTATACTTAAGCAAGAGAAATATGGTCTAACCCCAACCCCAAACAAATCAATAAAATCAGACACATTAGCAAAACAAGAAAACTATTATGTTTGTGAATATCAGTTTTCAATAAGCTATTAATGTTTTATATTGAATTTACCAATAGCAATTTATGTTAAAAGGCCATGAACACATCAGATCCAAATTAAATTAAAGAAGTGCCTGGGGTAAAGAAGTAAAACAGAATTTGTTCCACTGATGGCAAATCTGTCAACCAATATGTAACAATATAGTAATTTTTTTATTTCACAGAAATTTTCCATTTAGACCAGAATATTGTTTCCACAATAATGTAAAATTTCTTAAAAACTCCAAAGCAGGGTATAAAAGACATGGTCTTGCCCTATTAACCCACCAAGTTATAAACAACAATTCTGAATTCCTTTTATTAATGATGCTATTAAAATAGTGAACAATATACTCAAGACTTACAACTTTAAGTTGTACAAGTAGTCTGTAGACATCTGCCATATCAGCCAAAATGAGCAGCCGGGTAACTGCTGACAAGAGGGCCCGAGCTGCTCTCACCATATTCCCTCGTTTCACAGAAGAACAGGGGTCATCAGCAAATTCTCCAGAAGCACTCTTCATCAAGTCTCCTATATATGGAGAAAGTAACTGCAAGGCTTCAGTTTTTAATAATTAGGAAAGTATTTAGCCAAAACCAAAATGGCATGGATTTTTCTCATTAAAACATCTATCACTATAATTTTCATCACATTCTCTTCCAAAACAAATTATTTCTGGCACTTAGGCGAGTATTGCAAGATTAAGGATTTGCTGCTTATTTAGAATTCAATGGCCTTAATAGAATGTGCAAATATTCAACCTGAAGCTGGAAAGACGAGTAAACTGTGTTACTGGCTTTTTAAAAAAGCCCCATCTTTGTCTGATTGTACTCAGCAATATCATACAAGCCCAGGGAAAGGCATGGCTTCATTATGGAAGCACTGACCTTGGTCTCCATGCCGGATTTCAAATACCTTTCAAGTTCAAATACTGTACACCTTGAAGCCTAGTCGAGTTACAAAATGGAAATAATGTAAAAAGATTGACAGTTATTGCTAAATGATATTCAAATTTTGACCTGTACAAATCCTGAACAAGGTGACTTGGAATACATTTACAGAGCACTGCTTTTTGAACTATTAAAACACGCTATCTTTTTAGAAATGTAGTTGGAAACTGCTCCTGGTTTTGTTGACATACACGTAGATAAACAGCTACTTTACTTTGCTGGGAAAAATGAAGCAAAATTGCACGCAGGTTAATGTGAAGACACCTGGGAGATTTTTGAAGCAGCTGCACAAGCCTAGAAAATGATGCGCCTGTTTTAATTATGCAAAAAAGGTGCTCTGTATGTGCCACTGTGGGTTCTCAAACATCTCATTTTAAATGGTTTTCATAGCCCCATTAAAATGATAGCTTTTTGTCAGATGATAAAAGGCTCTATTAATATTTTAAACATGGGGTGAAGGTGGGGGAAGAAAATATTGTTTTGGATTTTTTTCAGTAGCAGGAGATATCAATACAATCACTTAAGTTAAAGACAATTTAAGACCATCCAATTTTATGTCAAGCTTTTTGGAAGTAAAAAACAACAAAATCCTCTGGTGTAATAATGCAACCATTTTCAAGTTTACAAAAAAATGTCATTGAAGCTGCACTTTCATAGACATCAGTCAATAAAGTCAAAATTTGATTCCACAAATGTAATGGCTGATTAAGGCAAGGTCATTCAATATTTCTCTGTCCAGCCCTTCTCACAGGACTATTGTGATATTAAGCTGAGAGTGGAATAACTATATACATTTTTGAGGTGCTATATATACATAAATATAGTAAAGTTACATAAAACATGCTGACACATATTAAAAGCTGAGCTTATCCCCAAATGGTGTTTAAATATATGCACATACTGACAGGCAAGTTCTTTCTTTTTTAAATTGGTAATTCCTGTGAGCTAATTTACAAACATGGACAATCCTAAGAGTTACAACTTCATCAAAGGTATACCTTGTTTGCGAACATCTTCCACAGCTGCTACCAGTTCTTCTTTAAGAAACTGGCTCTCCTTTGCAATTTTGTCCCCCTTTTCCAAAAAGTTTTCTGTTGCTTGCTCAACTGATGCAGCTAAAACATGCGCCTTTTTAGATCGGCCTCTTTTTTTGTTGGAAGGACCTTTGTTGCTAGTATTGACCAATGTTGTGACCTGAAAACAGCATAATATAATCCATTTTTCAATTAAAAAGCTTTAACTATTTAATATGGCAGAAATTCCCCATGAACACAATTTCAACTAAGTTATTTCATTGCTTGAACAAGATAACTCAACTAACACACTCCATATTTAAGTAAACAAACCTTCTGCTAAAAGGGTTTTTTTTTTGGAACTCAGATTAAAAATCTGGAAACATTCAAAACATTTATATATCCTGGTTGTTTTTCATATATCTATAAATCAGAAATGTGAAATTTTTTGGGAATACTTGTGAAATCTTCAGTCAAGTATTATTAAGTTGAACCTGTAGCATTCTAAAACATGACATGAGAAATGGAAGCTATACAGAAATGTGGTTTAGAAGCAACTTTATTTCTTTACTCTTATATGTTCATGCCTATTCTTGTATTGTTTAATTCTCAAAGGATTTTTTTTACCATCGTATTACTATTCAGTTTAATTGTTAATGGCATGTCAATGCCTATCTTTTAGCATTAAATCCATGACACATTACATGACTTATTGCCAGGGTCAAAGAATAAGGACCATTCATAAAGTTGCATCATAGATTTATTCAAACCTATATAAAATTAATGGTCAGCACTAAATTGGTGCTAGATAAGGGTTAACAGAATTCATGGGGAGAGGGCTGCACTTGGATCTCTGTGGCAATGCAACAGATAAAATGTTTGATTCTGTCCGCCACACACACACACACACCAACACCCCCCCCCCCCCCCACAGGCCAACTATGCCTGCTCTTCTCCTACAGCTATTGTGACACGTTTAGAAAGATTCCATTATTTGGCCTGGGCTCAGGAGTTAAATTTAAACACTGATTTCAAATTTTGTCTCTTAAATATAATTTCTGACACTGTTCATTCAGGCTCACATGCACTGCTCTACCTTTGCAGTATTTCTAGTTTTAAGTAAATTAAATGATTAGCCATTTCAATTTTTTTTTAGCTCAGAAATTATAATTTGATTTAGGGTTAACATTAGGTTTAAAGTAAGATATGGTCATCTTTTGACACCTGGATTCTAATTAGGAGTTACTCAGTTTGGCAGATATCAAACCAACCATACCAAAAAATAAGAGAACGGAATGTTTTGAACAGAGAAAGGAAAAATGTGTGCATGCAGGACTTTGCAATATAAATTTAAAAGTCTATTTAGGTCACATTTTGGTTGCTGAACATTACTGAAATTATTTGGGCTAATTCTGGGTCATTTAAATTCCAATAATTTAGATGGGATTTAAGCATAGTTAATTTGATATGAGATTAAGGACAAAACGCCAATGATGTTTGGTCTCACTTTTTTAAAAGTAATATGCCAGTGATTTATTTTTAACACTGTTTTTGTTAAAGTTTCTATTAATTCTGGATGCTATTTTAATCTTACTTAAATTCATTTTTAAAAGAAACACAGTAGTGGGATTGATGTTCTTTTTTTTACTCATCAGCCTATCAAACTTGTTTTAATATATAGGATTGTAACACCAACTCCCCATCTCCAAGCCCAACATTTTGGGATTTTCTATATTTACTACATAAAACATGTGGTTATATTTCAGCTTTAAAAAAAAATTTAAGGAAATAAATCCTGATATTTTCTACTTTGATCTGGCTTTATAAAGGCAAAAAGAAAAAGAAAGAAAGCTATGAACAGAAAACATTCCAATTACATCCTTAATTGTAGGTCCAACTGACTATCAACACAATGCAATTAATCTATCGATTCTCCAATGTAAAACTGCAGATCCAGAACATTAATAAAAAGCAAAGGATAACCACATAGAGTTTTTATTACCTGGGTAACAAGAGGTTCAAGCAATCTTTCAACTGCCAATGTCCTTATTTCCAAGCTTTTTGGATCCCATTTGAAATTAACATTTCCTGTATTAATGGTAGTCATTTCTGGAAAAGAAAAGTATTAAATAATTTCAATTCTTTAAACAACACAAATGTCTATGCAGCAAACTCAATGGAATCAATAGAGGTTACTCAAAACTAAATACAGACTAAACTCTGACCCAAAATAGAGCCATTTACATATATCATTAGAGTCTGAACCGCTAATCAAATTGAGATTTAGACTAATAGTTGCAATTTCTTTCTTGACCTTTTACCCCAGGGAGCAACCTTTTTGAGGGCCACCATGCAATCTTGCACAGTGCACGAAACATAAAATTAGCTGAAAATAGTTCAAGATTACATGCTAAAATGTGGTTATTTAATGAAATTAATGTTGATATATCTAGGATTTTATATGCCATTCTGGAACCCTTGCTTTAGATTGAACTTTAAAAAGCAACCTCGTTTTATCCCCATATTTTTCTTATCTTTCCTTCCTATATTTTTTCTTTTAAATCAATTGTTCTTTAAAAAAGAGAATAGCCCACCAGTAAAAAGTGACTTATAAAAGAAATTATCCTAACTGTCCATTCCAACCATTTCATGAGTTTGCAATAAAAAAAACCACAGCATTATTCTAGCTGCATCTTTATATTCTGTTGGCACAATGCTTATATAGTATATATACAGCATACTGCATTACTACCCCACCCCCTCACACACACACCTTACAGGGAAAATAGGAAAAGGGAGCATTGTGTACTCCACATTAAGTTATACCAAACAAAGACAAACACTAGTTTAGTTCTAACCAAAGACACCCTTAGACCTTCATAAAAATGCTAAGGTTCAATTACTGTAGTTATAGCCAACATAGTTCTACTCAGTTTTTTTTATAACAGCTGTTTCCATCCAACAAAACTACAAGAGTACATGGTGAAGCATGGCAAGACAACTGTGCTTTTTGCAAGTATTAATTCACTCTAATCACAGATCTGAAAATTTATTGAAATGTAAGGTATTTTGCATGCCTTAAGGAAGTTATTGATGTTGAGCCTTCTTACTAACACCCTCTTCTAAACATTTACTTTTCTATCACATAAAATGGGAGCACGTTACTTGTGTACATTCAGAACCGAATGTTTTGGGATCTAGAGGCAATTCTATAGAAAATGTCATCATTTAAACATACCCAATTATTTTGCTCTATAGTCTGCAACCTATGCTGTAATTGAGATCAGAATTTGTCATAAGTTGCTTCTGTTAAGCAAGGCAACCACATGATCACTTTGCTTAATGACTACAATCCCATCTCTCCTGGTCTTTAAGTGGACCTTGGGGCGCTTGAGGGAGTGGGAGAGGTTCTAGGAGGCCTGGTGCAGGCCTGGGTCTGCACTGCAGCACCATCCCAGCTCATACATCGCCTGAACTGGGCCTCCCACACCCCAAGGCACCCCTTGCACAGCTTCCCACCCTGCTGGATCCCACAGCCTTAGGCCTGCTCTCTACTCCATCATGGCTTCATCCACTTATCTCTTCCAAAGAGCATCTTTCCAAAACAGCACCCAGATGATGTTGCCCACTTCCACAATGGAAGGCCGTGCATCGCATGGTATGATGCTTTTTTGGAAAGGCAATCTTCAGAAGAGGTAAGTGGGGCAAGGTGTGACTGAGCAGGGATGAGGCCCAAGGTTATAGGACCCAGAGGGGTGGGAAGCACACCCAAGGCCTGTGGAGACCCAGCGAAATGGGAAATGGGTCCAAGGAACCCAGCCAGGCAGGATGAAGAGGGGAAGATAGGCAAGTGGGGCAGTTGCAAGGTCCCTGAGGCCAGTCGTAAGGGCCTGAATGAACGTTGGAAATGGGTTGTAATTTCAAATGGCTGCTGAATAAATGGTTGGAAGTCAAGGACTACCTGTATAGGATTGTACAAAATCTTCCAAATTTGAAGCATTCTATTTGAACACAAAATGCCATGTTTTGATGCAAAATAGCTTAGGTAAGTATGAAATGGATTCTCAAGCATTCTAGAAATGTTTTGTCTGTGAAACAAGAGACATGCTTGAAACACAGCTTTTTGAAACTCAAAAACACTTCCGGAATGCGCAAAACAGCATTTTGCCAAAAAAAAAAAAAAAGCAATTCATCCTTGAACTGGGGGATTTTCAAATTCAGTGTTTTTGCACATCTTTATTGCTTTCCACATGATTTGACTGTTTATCTCATTAGACACCTTGCAATTAGAAACTTGCAAAGTAAAATCAGAAAAGAGACTTATAAACAAAACTTAATTACTGCAATGTGTTCAAGTGTAAGGTGTATGGACAATCATAAAATAGCACACATATCAATTTCATTCTAGAATGACATTGTCTTAATAACTAAAATCCAACAAGAATCTTGAAAACATAAAATGGAGATGGGTAATATCTCCATGGGGTTTAAGTTGAACAAATATTATGCTTCTTAAAAGTGCAATTTAAATAAATTAAATTTGAATATATGCAATTCAAAAGCGAAAGCCAGTTTGGTGTAGTGGTCAAGCACCAGGCTAGAAATCAAGAGACTCTGAGATTTAATCCCATTTTAAATATCAGGCCAGCTGAGTGACCTTGGGCTAGTCACATACTCTCAGCCCTAGGAAGAAGGCAATGGCTAACCACTCCCTAAATCTTGCCAAGAAAATGGCAGGAACTCGCGCACGCAGCCACAAAAAATAAAAATCCCCCCCCCCCCCCCCCAAAAAAAAAGTTGCTGCAACTTAGAATCACAAAATGATAGCCAACAAACTGACCAAATTGGAATAATTTTATTTCAATTATAGTCAAAGTATCATTTAGTTGTTTTCAGCAAAGTTTCTAAATGGTGAAGACTTCCTCAATGCGCAGCAAAGCCAAACCATTCAACTGGGATGGGGAAATCAATTCTAAGTTTCCAGTCACACTATTTAATATATTGATGATCAGGACAATTTTCCATGAAGATGGATGGATATGAGGGGAGGAACTGCAATATGAAAATTGACCACACTCCCCAACCCAACAGGATGAATGAACTCTGTTTTCAAACTATTCAAGATACATGTTGCTGCTTTTTTTGGGTCAAGCCAATGTCATGTTATAGCTACACATTCTCATACTATTCCACAATATAGGAACTTTAAACTATGTAAATAGTTTAAACTGGTCTCAAAAAGCAATTTCCTTTCTTTACATTTTGAAAGCTTATTAATTTTTATGCCTGCATCTTTAGGATGTTTTTGGAAAACTGCAACAAACTCTAGCTGCTGAAAATTTTACAATTACAGGAAATAACCTTATTTTAAGCACAACTGAATTTCTCTTTTGGCTTTCTCACCATTCTTAAAAACTCAGTGATTCTGTATCACAGAGCCTTCCAATACAACTGGTTGATCTCATTCCTTCACTACATAGATTTCAATGAAACATGTCTGTGACATCTGTCTAAAATGTATGCAATTGTTGAGCTGAAATAGCAATATGGTGATGTCATTAGTCCATTCAAAAACTTTATCCTTGTTTTTTTTCCCTGGCACTTCCACTCTAGATACAGCAAGAGATACTGTAGTCGTTTTGGCAAGCAGCCTAGATGAAAATTAAATGACTGCATCATTAATGAAAGTACTATACTATACTTGTCTGGCAGATTATATAATAGCCATTAATCCTCCTATCCAGAGAACTTTTGATTACACAACACATACTCCACAGAGACTTAGTATGGGGCAAACAATAATCACAATAAATGGAACACGTTTTCTTTAATACTGTTTATTTTGACCACTCACATTAAACCAATACTGGATTAACCAATTAGTGGATAGTTCCACAGTCACACAGTAATGGAAAAAGGATGTTATTACTGCAGGAAAGAGTATCTGTAAGAACATCCTGAATTTAGACTTTATTTAGTGATTTTTTTCATTCTATGATAGCACTTTCATTACTCAGTTTTCCCATTTGCTGATGGAAATAAATGGTGAAAATCTCAGACTACTTTTGAAAGAAGATAAATTACCAAGTTGGTGTTAGCTCTACTAATGTCCAAGAGAAGTTATCCTAAATACCATATGAAAACTTGTAAATATGTAAGAATTTCAATGGCATTTAGTGAAAATTTAATATTATAGACACCTATCAAAACTAGCTACAGTATATTCAGATTTTTTTTTCCTCAATGCTAAACAAAAAGTTAGTAAGAAACCACCCCCAATACAAGCCAGGAGAAATTGGTGTGATATATTGTGTTACTTTCTACTTGAAGCACACATTGCTGTAAACATATTTAGAATGGCATCTTCTGGTACAATTATTGCAGTAAGCATCTCTCTACAATTCTCTCTGCCAAGTCTTTTATCTTGTAATGCCTAAGCATGCCCTTAAGAAAACCTCCTGTGGAAATGCAGTATGAGTCCTTATCTCTGGGAAAGAGTATTCTACAACTTAAAGGGAAAATTGTTTCTATATCCGAAAGGAATCAATCACAGAAGGGGCACATGTATGAAAAAGTGCTGTTTGCTCATAAATCAATATGTATGTATGTATGCATGTATGTATGTATGGTATTCAGCTTTGTTCGGGTATTTTCCCACGTCATTATAGTTGTGCTTTTAAAGTTGTAGCAACGTTTCGGCAGAATCTCATCTGCCATCATCAGGCTTCTGTATCTGCCATCATCAGGCTTCACAGACGAACACTATACAGTCTGACTCACTATACAAAGTCTGACTCACAGACGAACCCAATACAGAAGCCTGATGATGGCAGATGAGATTCTGCCGAAACGTTGCTACAACTTTAAAAGCACAACTACAATGACGTGGGAAAATACCCGAACAAAGCTGAATACCATACGTATAAATACCTGCGAAAACTTAAAACAAACAAACATACATACATACATATAATGCATACACATAACTCAAAATGAAGGCCTCTAAAATGGTGCCAAAGGCAAATGATGTATCAATGAACATCTCCTGATGTTCAGTGGATCTTCTGGCTTCTATAACTTTAAAGCTCTTCAGATTTTTAATTTTAAATGGGGAGTTGGCATGTTACAAAGTAGCAGTCATTATTTCACAAAAACACATTGTGTGGGCTAATATTGTGTTTCCAACAATATTGGAAAATAAAAATAGTGAACATCTACGGCTTAATGCTTGGTTATAACTGTACCCATTTCCCCACAAAACCATTGAGGGAAGGGTAGAAAGGATGACAGAACACTAATAATTTGCCCTTTATTAACTGGGATCTCATAATTGTTCCTTCATTGCAACCATTTTGTGAAGAAGTAAGCTTCTTATACAAGAGTTATGACTCACAATATATTCCCAAATTTCAAAGCTCATAATTTGCTTAACAAATGGAAACAAAGCCCCAAAGAGATTTTAAAGCGGGGGTTTTAAAGTTACTCTTGCTTTAGAGCAGGCCTGTCAAACTGGTAGTCTGAGGGCTGGATATGTCATGCGCAGGCCATGCCCACCCTGTAAAGGCAAAAAACATTGCGATATGTCACGATCCGGCCTGCGATGCAATAGTTTGACACCCGTGCTTTAGACTCACGAAAGGAGTAGTATATAAGTTAAAAAGGTGTTTGCTACTTTCTTAACCCTTCTGAATGGCACAAATATGGATTGAAGAGATACTATCAAACTCTCATCACAACACCTTTTTAAACACAAGGCTAAACAAGAAGGCATCCCCTGTGCTACAAAAATATCAAATCATACGTAGTACCCCAGTCTTAAAATGTATGGATATTTATTATTACTTATATGATTTGGTGTTCTCCAACTCAAAACAATCCTGGGTGTCTCACAATTATAGAGAGTAAGGAAGTGACCTTGATTGAGATATTCAAGGTGTGCTGCCTATGAAAAAAAGGGGCTGAAACATTTTTAGATCCATAACAGGTATTCAGGCAGCCACCTCCAGAATTCATTGACAAAGAAGGGGGGAGGGAGATAAACAATCAGACTTGCAAAATTCTGTTATTTTAATCAATCTCCAGATACTCCACAACAACCTACCAACATCCAATATCAGAGTCCCCATTCCAAGGCCCGGGAGAATGCCAAGATCTATTTGGGCCCCTGGTAAAGACAGCAGGGTGGGAGCCATCTGGGTGTTATGGCATAACTTTGTTCCACAAGGCAAGCACTGAGAGATATTGTTTAATTAAAGAAACCTGGAGTGCACCAATTCTTTCAGTTCAAATCAGCTGGGAAGATACCAAGGGACACAAATGATCCCTTAAATCAAGGAGGTCAAACTCCCGGCCCCATCATGTGCTGGTCACGCCCATGCCTGGTTTAGCAAAGGGGGGGAAAGTCCCGTTATGTCATGTGATACTACTGTGACCTGAGTTTGATACCCCTGCCTTAAATAATTATCATGTAGGGCATTGTAGGTCATAACCAGCATCCTGAATTTCACTTAGAAGCTACCTGGCAAGCATTGCAGCTCAGAGTTACATGGGCATATCAAAGCATTAATTCTGGACCAATTGAAACTTCTCAATGGTCTTCAAGGGCAGCCCCATGTAGCATGTGTTCCAATATACCCATATATTTAGCAATGCCATATCAGAACAGGAATTTTCAGTTCAGGTGAATACCTAGTAAGATGGCTATCTATTTCTATTCTTGATATGTTATCTTGTAAAACAAAACAGATTGGAAAAGCATTCCCTAGCTCTAATCTGTCATTAAATCACAATCTAGAATACTTCATTTCAGATAGTTTTCACTTTAAAATCTTGAACAACTTGCATGTCACATATTATTGATAAACTTTTACTTTTTAATTGAAGAATTCCCAGCATCACTTTATAGCTATCAATACAGAGAGAAAAAAAACTAATGTAAGAATCTTAATAAATTGGGACAGTATAACTTTCAAAATTAATCTTTGCCTTATATATGTGACTATACTCTGTTTCTTGACTAACACAGCTTAGCATTTGGGTCCAAATTGTGGACCTTAACCATGCCTATTTTTAGATATATGCAGCAAAGGGCAGTTTGATTATGCTCTAAACCAAATATTCATATCCAAGACGACTTCCCAAAGCAACTGTTCAAAGTTGGGCTTCTCTCTTTGCTAGTAACTAGTATACCAAATATCCAACATGGGGAAAAGGGGGCGGAGATGACCAAGGGAATGAAGAAATATTATATTAGAACAAATAAATAGTTAAATAAGCAAAATATCTGGTGCATTTCATTACAATGTCTCTACTAGTGACATAATAGATGTCTTGATAAAACATACAGTTGGAAGAAATGAATGCTATCTTACAGTTCTACAAAATAATAAAAAAAACAGAAAAGCAATAGGTGATGAAAAATGTTTGGACCCAAAGTTACAGATGTATCCTATAATCACACACAAAAATTAGTAAATCCCTTATTTTATTAACACATGGGTAATCTTAATGGTATTGCGGGAACAATGCTTTCATGTGCTTCAAAGGTAGTATCATTTTTGAATCAAGCATAATTGCTGGTGTTTTCAGATACATCCTTAAAGTTGTGACATTGTGGAAACCTCTTTCACAATATCACCATTACAAACACATCCTGCTGCCTTTGAAAGTAATATTCAGGTGGTACATAAGCTGTGAAGTAGTAGGACTTCCTATCTCACAGACTGTAATGACTGCTCTGCATTCTTTAAATTTCAATTTACAGAGCTAACAGCCCCATGTAAAATATTTTATAAGATTTATATAAAATGTGCTTACTATATTCAATAATACCCCAGAATTATTGAAATATTTTTAGTATTTGAACCATAATATCGATATCATAACACAAGCTATGAATGTTTCATGTCATCACTCAACTTCAGGTAGTTTAATACCAAGTCTGTAAAATCATTTTTTTTTTAATCAGAAAAGATACCCAGCTTCTTCTCAGGGTCAGCAAAAAATACTTGAAGATTATAGTTACTTTTCATAGTAAAAATATTCATCTGTTTATGATTAATGTTACTTATAGGAAAGGAAGCTTATAGGAATTATCCTGGCCATTCAGAAAGCAGATTTGAATTAAAAAAAAAAACCCTGTCAGAACAGATTTATTAAACTTGGAATTTTTGAGTAACAGATAACAGAAGCCCAATTTTAAAAAATACAGGAGGCTCAATGGGTTAACGCAGTAGCTAAAAAAATGAAATACTATTTATCCATAAAGATTTACAGCGATTGTTTCATAAGCTGTCTTCTGCACAGGATTTAAGCCAGAAAGATTTAAGACAGTTTTCTGAAACCTGCTCCTCTTTGACACTCTTTTGTTTTATATATATATAAATAAATCGCATACTGTAGTTAAACCCGGCTTACATGACGGTGGACCTAATAACTGCTTAGCCAGCACTTTTGTTTGCTTTTTAACATCAGCAAGTTTTCGAAAAGTCCCTCAAAAAGTGCTTTGACTCCCCCATTGGGGAAGGAGGCAAGCCAGGACTTCCTCTCTCTCTCAGCTGCCAGCAACTTCTCACGCCGACGGATGAGGGAAAAAAGGGAGCCTTTTCTCCACCCTCCTCCTCCTCCATTAAAAAAAAACACAAAAAAACCTCGCGTCCTGTTTCCTTATGGGAGAAAGGTCCATTGCACGTCACAGCAAAATACCCCAAACGATTGGGGGTGGGTGGGAGAGGAAGGGGGGGGGATACGACCCCAACTGGCAGCAGGAGGAAACCCGCGAGAAACTTTTCTCGTTACGGCGGGCTCTCAAGTCCCAGAGCCTCCCGAAGAAACTTGAGGAAAAGAAAACCCGACTTCCTTGCTCCGCCTGCCTTGCCTCCCTTCGGAAGAGAACTGGAATGGGGACACCGCCCGGGGTTGAAGTGAGGGAGAGAGGGAAGGGGATGGGGGGGGGGGGGAAGGGGGGGAGGCCGTTGGCGCAGGAGGCGAAGGGAACTAGAAGCAGGAGTAGTCCCCCCTCCGGGCAGTTCCGGGTCTCTTTTTCTCTCTCTCTCTCTGCCTCGGGAAGGGAGGAGAAGTCCAAGAAGGGAGCCGAGGCCGCTCTCGGTCCCGCCGCACTGCTGCCGTTTTGAGGGCAGCCCACTTCTAAAACTTTCCAACTCGGCCGGCCAAGAGAAGAAGGCCCAAGCCGGACAAAGCGACGCCCACGCCACATCTCCAACCGCCTCCATTGACCTCGAAAGTTACCTGCGGCGGCTGTTTTTTTTTTTTTTTCCTTCCCCCTCCGCTGTGACGACGGCGATTCGCGCTGGCTTTCCAAACACCCCCTCACCCCGTCCAACAGGCCCGCGCTTTGTCTCTCGCAGCGGTCGGTTAGGTGCGGCCGCCTCGCTTGAGCCCCGTGCCTGGCTGCTGCTGCTCCTGCCTCCTCCGCCGCCGCCGCGCCCCGTCCCAAACTCAAGCCCGAAAGTCCACACGGAAGACGACGAGGAAACGGGACTCTTCCGGGCACCTCCCCCTGCCGCTTTAACCCAGGCTCTTCTCGGCACCGCCCTCTGCTCCTGGCCGGCTCGTCCCAGCACCGCCCTCGGCCGCTTGGCTTCCCGGCCCTTTCCAACAAGCGAACGGCTCTTCCGAGCACCGCCCGCCTCGGAACGGCAGAGGCAGAGAGAGCGAGCGAGAAGGAGAGAGAGAGAGAGAGAGAGAGAGCGGCCGGGCGGGGTGAGGGTGGGGGCGTGGAGGAAGTGGGTGAATCAGGGCGAGAGAGTTTCAGGTGAGAGTTTCAGACCGAGCTTGCGCTCGGGGCGGCCGGAGCGGGGGGGAGCCCTCTTCCGAAGATTCCCGACAGGCGCACGTAGTTTTAAAGCACCTTTTTATGGACATGAGGGGAAGGGAGGATGTGTGTGTGTGTGTGTTCCTCTTTTTCCATATACGGACTGGGAGCGCTTCCACCTCTTGTAGGGGAAAACAAAGGCACGAAATCCGGTGCAAGCGACGTCACGGCTACGGGAAAGGCATTTTGTGGAAAGAATAGCCTTCCTTTCCTTGGAAGGGTTGATTTTTAAGCGCGCTCTTAGTAAAAACAAAAAACAAAAAGTCAAGGAGAGTTTTAACAGAATGGTAAGACATATTCCATTGGATCGCAACTGGTGAAGTGAGACTTTACCAAAGAGGGATGGCAAAAATGCCCTAATAAATTTGTTGGTCTTTTTAAGCTCGCTCTTTTTTTTAAAAAAAATTCTTTTTCTTTTTGCTATAACAGCACATGGCTATTTTTCGAAAAACATCTTTGATACAAAATTATTTATTGAGAATGCTTACACCTCACTGTTCTTTTTAAAGAAAGAACTTAAGGCAGCACAAAGTTGGGCCAAAAAATCAACAATAATATACAACTTGAGTGCACTGGCTAAGCGTGATTGCCAGCGGAGCAGAAAACAATGCCAGCTCAGCCAGTTTTACTGTCAGATAAGCTTTATTTATTTTGTTCGAAACATGGGGACTTTCTGCTCTTTAACAAACTCTCCAGATCCTCCTTGCACTCAATGCATTCTTCAGGTAGCACATATGGACCTGGACAAATGCTTGTGGGTGTTGATTGGTCAGTTTTTTTGCAATCTAGACTTCTTTATTCAAATCTCAACTCCCACATTTTCATTTTATGAGAGTTGTTGGCGATACCAACCAGGAACATCTCTGGAGGGCTTTTGCTTGGATTAGGTTGATTTTAATATTCAGATTGTTGTAAGTGTGTAGGGGAGGTATACAGAAGAAACTCTGTCAAGGATCTTGGAGTACTCATCTCTAATGACCTAAGCGCTAGAACCCACTGTAACTACATAGCCAAAAAGGAGTTAAGAGCTGTTAACCTTATCCTACGTAGCTTTTTCTCTGGTAATATTACACTAATAACTAGAGCATACAAAACATTTGCTAGACCAATACTCGAATACAGCTCATCAGTCTGGAACCCACATTACGTATCTGATATTAACACAGTTGGGAAAGTCCAAAAATATTTCACAAGAAGAGTTCTCCACTCCTCTACTCCACTCGTTGTAGAATACCTTATGCCACCAGACTTGAAATTCTAGACCTAGAAAATCTAGAACTACGCCGCCTTCGGTCCAATCTAAGTATAGTATATAAAATCATACATTGCAATGCCTTACCAGTCAATGAATACTTCAGCTTCAACCATAACAACACAAGAGCAAACAATAGATACAAACTCAAGGTTAATCGCACCAGACTTGATTGCAGGAAATATGACTTCAGCAACAGAGTGGTCAATGTCTGGAATACTCTACCTGACTTTGGTTTCTTCCCCAAACCCCAAAAACTTTAATCTTAGACTGTCTACTATTGACCTCACCCCTTTCCTAAGAGGTCTGTAGGGGTCATGCATAAGTGCACCAACGTGCCTACCGTCCCTGTCCTATTTCTTTTATATATTTTTTATTTTTCTTATATGTATCCATGTATTCATAACTATGTTTTTACTTATACCTATTATCTTGTAAGCAATTGACAAATAAAAATAAATAAATAAAAGAAGCCATTCTGACTTCTTTCTAATGTTAATTCTGGCAATCAGAGTGATTCTAGGAATGGGCAGCTTCACTATGTCAGCTGGGCCAAGGCAGTTTAGACCAGTTGTGTGGACTTGCTGGCTGAGGAATTCTGGGAATTTCAGTTCTAGCTGAGGTTGAGAAACATTAGATTTGAATGATGGGTTCAGAAGATGCCCACAAATTAGTTGATTAACTTCCCAGCTGAACATCATTTGGCCCTGGCTTTACTCTGAGTTGCATGTTTTCTTCCTAAAAGCACAGCTAATATGGTCCAAATGTGGTCTGTAAAGTTATTGGACTAGGAACAAGGATATCCCAGTTCTAGTACACCAGGGAAGTCAAATTCACATTGTCATGGCAGCGTCACATGATGTATCAGGACTTTCCCCTCCTTTGTTAAACTGGGCATGGATGTCAGCAGTGTGTGACACATCCAGCCTGTAGGCCGGGAGTATGACAGCCCTGTAGTACACCCTCACCTATGGAAGCTCACCGGACCTAAAGCTAACTTTAGGCCAGTCACTCACTCTCATTTCAACCCATCTCATAGGTTTGGTTGGAAGGAGTGTTAAGTACATTGCCACGAGTTACAGGATGAAAGGAACGATATACATCTTAAGAAAAGGACTATCCAGCCACACTTTTTAAAATTTCAGTATCAAAATATGCTTGAAATTACTTTATACCAGCCCCGGATCTAGGAAAAGTTAGCCAAGAAAATTTTATAGGCTACAAATTTTGAAAGGATTTATTCAACTAGGAATCTGTAGGGATGTATTTACCTTATGCTAAAGAAATTTGAGTATATAGTCATCATCCCATTCTGGGAAGCATTACTGGTAGTTCTTGATTTACAACTATTCATTTAGTGACCATTCAAAAATACGATGATACTAAAAAAGTGACTGACAACTAGTTTTTACACTTAACATCTGTTGCAGCATCCCCATGGTCACGTGATCAAATTTTGGGTGCTTGGTAAGTGGCATGTATTTATGACAGTTGCACCGTCCCGGGATCATCTGATCACCATTTGTAATCTTCCTTGCTAGCTTCTGACAAGCAAAGTCAATGGGGGAAACTTAATGACAGCATGATTCACTTAACAACTGCAGCGATTCACTTAATAACCCATGGCAAAAAAATGTAAAATGGGGCAAAACTCCCTTAACAACTGTTGCTTAGCAACAGGAAATTTGGGCCTAATATGAAGAGTCCCTATATTCACTTTAATAAATATAAATATGTCAATTATTTTAGTGTTAAGGCAGGGGTGTCAAACTCACGGCCCACGGGATGCATCACGTGTTGGCCACCCCCACTCCCATTTTAGCGAAGGGGGAAAAGTCATGATACGTCACATGACGACATGATGCCGTGAATTTGACACCCCTGTGTTAACGGAACTCTTCAGATCAGATAACTTGGTATTTCCAGATGGGGTTATTGGGAGGATTTGAGGATGCTTTGACTGCTGTGCTAACTTCGCTTGTAGAAAGGAAGTTTTGCTTATTTAAATCTGATAACTGAGATATTTAAATGTGTCCACAAATATCAATAGAGCATGATACAGTGCCCTCCCCCCCCTTTTTTTAAACAAAAATGTCTTATTTTCTATATGTTGTTTTTAAGAATCAAATACTATTTAGAGATTGTATCAAATATTATAATAGAAGAGAACAGTCTCTGAATTTACTAGAATGGGTTTTCCACAACACTGCAGTCTTCTTTTAAAACAAATGGTCATTTGAGAGTTGCTGGAAATGTGATGGATGTACTTTTAACTGTCTAACCTTCCAGTTTTGGAGGGAAGGAAATTGCCTCAGATTCAGAGCTGGCTTCCTTTCCAGTAAATTTCCAATAAATTCATAATAACTTTCTTTACTAGTAAATATAATACATCGAAGTAAATCTAACTTAGGACACATTAACTTATTTGTCATTTTTATGGGCAGGTGGGCACACTTCCAAAGTGTTGAATTGTAGCCATCCATCATTTTTACATTGTAAAATATAAATATAAAATACATGCGGTCTGTATCATCCCTAGAGGCAATAGTAGAGACAAAGTTAATGCTAGAGGTTGATGCTTTATTTGCATCATGTCACCCATATATTTATTTCTTTGTTTAATTGAAACAATTGAATAAATAATTGGAATTAGGTGCCAAGAAATGCCATCTGCCAGTGTATAGATACTTTGGTCTTTCTGCTGGCAGGCTGCCTACTCTGCCATAGTTCTCAATGACTTACCAGCATATTCTTGTTTATTGCCTCTGTAATATCATGACTTTGGGAGAACACTGCATTTGCAGTTTTTTTTTCTTGAAACTTCACAAGAATGTTGTAGTGACAAAATGGGTTTATTTGGTATAGCTGGCATGACTTTGATGGTGTTCAGCTTCTATTTACCATCCTGTAATTTATGCTTCTGCATTTTCCTTTCCATGAATATAGTTCATGTTTGTCCAACCTTTGGCTTTCCTGGGCCAAAGGTTGAGTGAAGTGGAATTACCTGGGTTGCATTTAAAATATATAATTTAGTTAATATATATAAACCACAAACTTCCTTTAAAATATTTTTATTATCTTGCGGGCTATATTACTAGCTGTCTACGGCTGCATATGGCCCATGGGCTGCAGGTTGGACATGCCTGATTTAGTTGTTTGAAAGCTGGCTGCTGTACTTGTAATCTCATGTCAAATTTACCTTGATTTTGGTGTGAGGAAGGCCTGTGTAGTCCCCTAAGACCTTTCCACTGACAATATGTGTCTTACATAACTGATGAAGGGACCAAGACATACAATATACCTGCTGATGCTCCAATTCATTTATATAAAACATCTCATGGCTAGGAAAAACAAGCAGTGATACACACAGAGGCTGATGGTATGAGATTTTCCAGTAGCTCCCAATAGTCCTCTCTGATGGTACTGGCTAATTTGTTGATTCAGAAGTCC